TTCTTCTTCTTCCCATTTCCTCCCTCCCTTCTTCCTTCCTTTCCTCCTCCCTCCCTCCTCTTCCTTCCTTTCCTCCCTCCCTTCTTCTTCCCATTTCCTCTCTCCCTTCCTTCCTTCCCTCCCTCCCTCCCTCCTTCCCTTGTAAAGCCCATCCTGCTGCTTCATTATAATGCTTGGGGCCGTCTACAGCTGTTCTCTGATTTTCTGCTGTAGGGAAGCAGTTTTTATGAAAAGCAAAAACGAAAACAAACAAACAAACAACAACAACAACAACAACAACAAAAGGCTGATTTCCCCCTTGTTTGAAATATTTTTACGGTGTGGCCCTTCCTCTCCAAAAGTTTAAACCGCGATGTTTAGCCTTTTGGAAGAAGAAGAAAAAGAAAAAGAAAAAAGCAGATGGGAGGTGCTCATTTATAGCAGCATATGGTTAAACAGCCAAAAGTGTCGTATTGCTTGGTAGAAAAAGGATCAAGAGAAAAGTTAGGTGACAATAGCAAATGCGTATTTAGCAGCATAAGCCGGTACAATGTATAAAGAAATGTATTCTGGAATACATTCTTTCAATTCATTTAGCACAAATAAATGGTTTGTTTCACTTTGCAGTGGAAGGGAGTCTCTTTTTTTCTCCCCCGCTCCCCCTTTTCTTGCTAACTTTCCTACTTGCTAACTTTTAAACGTCCCTTACTCAGGTGCTTAACCGAGTAGGAAGCAGGAGACCGTCCTGTACTTTTGTCGTCCCTATAAATATACTATTGAAGCCCAGGCTTCAAAAAATGGGCTTGCAACGTTTGTACACAGTTTCATGTTTTTCTTTATGAAATGGAAACTAGAGGCATGGGAGCCATAATCCCTTTGAATTCGTTGAGCCCTTCTGCTGCGTCTTAATTTTTGTTTGAGAGTCTTAAGCACAGGTTGAAACTACTTTTCCCCTGCCTGGTCGTGACCCACTCTAAGGGGAGGTGCTTCATCCCCAATTCTCAGCCGACGGAGCCTTGCGTCGTCTGAGAGATGCTTCTGTCATCCTGTGGCCAGCGTGAAGCTGTTACCTTGGTACCTATTTATCTACTCGCGCCTGCATGCTTTCAAGAGGCTAGAATGGCGGGAGCTGGGGTGAGTAACAGGGTGACCTCACCCCGTCAGGACTCGAATCAGGGCTGTTGACTTTCCAGCGGACAAGCCCAACATCTTAACCAATTTGCAATGCTTCAACATTTCTGTTTTTTTTGGCTTTTAGAAGCAGATACTTGCATTAAAGGTATTTTGGGGGTCACTTTAAGGAGCCAGACTGGGGTTAATTTGCACAGTGTTTGAAATAGTTATCAAATATATTGGCGCTCAGCTCAGATCCCGTTTTTAAACTTACTTGCCTTTCCTGGGAAAATATATATACCTTAAAATTAGTCTTTAATACCTGAAAAATCAGTGCACGGCTCTCTCCCCCCTCCCAATACAGTAAGATAAAAAAATATAAAAGGCTTAGCATGTGTTCCAAAATCAGTTTCGTGTGGTTAATCATATATGAATCCAGGACCAAGGTGGGTGGGGAGGCAATGCCAAAAATGCAACCTTCCCCTCTCTATTTCCCCAACTTTAAGCGTGGCTTCTGAAAGTCAAAAAGAGGTTGTCCGTCACTGCAATGGAAGGATCAGAGGGAGTCAGTGTGCGGTGTGTAAATGTGAGAGCAGAGAGCCAGGCATCTTGGCTCAGAGGTAAGGCTAGACTTCAGCTTTGGTTGGCTGGTTGGTTATTTTAGCTGCTTTGGCTGGCGGGGAGAATTAGGGGCCTGCTGGTGGGGCTGGCAGATGAGCCCTTGGACACAGGTGAGCCTGGCTTAGTCCTCCCGGGTTTCTGCATGGCCACCTGCAAAGAGAAAGAAGATCCTGGCAGGCTGGAGATATCGTGGTCCAATCGAACAGTTTTCCCCCATGCGGGGTTAAGGTTTGGACAAGAGACGTCCATTCATTGGGCTGCCGAAATAAGAAAACAGACTGAAGGGAATGCTTGTCTCCAGTGCCACAGGAATGTCAAGAAAAGGTGTAAGGTAACATTATTACATAAGGTAACATTACATAAGGTAGCAAGGTAACATTAAAGTTCCTCTTTAAAGCTGCAGTCACAAACCATTGCCTTTTTAACCTGGTCACCAATCTGCCCCAAGCATGCGATTCCTGCTACTGTATAATGAAAACCATCAGAGTATCTTGCATGCTTTTTTTTTTTTACAGGAGAATTAGATTGCATGGAAAAAACATTTGGAGAAAATTCATTGGAGGTGTATATTGTGTGCAGAGGATCATTCTGTGGTTTAAAATCTTGGGCAAAGTCCATAACTATCTTAGACAGATAACCATTAGCGTTTGTGCCTTTTCTGTTTCACTCTGTCATCCTCTCCAAGACTTCCCTGCTCTCAACATTTGGGGAAAAAAACCACACACACACACACACACACACACAGGGGTGGGGTTCAAAAATTTTAGCAAAGGGTTCTCTGCCTAGTTGCTGGGTGGGCTGTCCATGGTGGGTGTGGCCTAGTTGGCCTCCTGAACCATAGGAGGTTTTTTTTTTTTTGCCCTCCCCGGACTCCCGAGGCTTTTTTCGAGCCTCTGGGAGGGAGAAAACGCCCTCCCCAGGCTCCGGAGGCTCTCTGAAAGCCGGAAACAGGCCCATTTCCAGCCTTCCCAAACTTCGGGGAGGCCCGTTTTTTGCCCTCCCTGATCCTCCGTGCGCACCCTGCACATAACATACCTGCATCCCAAACAGGCCTCGTGGGGACTCCTGGGAGGGGTGGGGTGGGCGGGGCCAGCCAGGAGTGGGATTTGGGGGTTCTCCAAACTGCACAGACTCTTAGCTCGGGGCCCTCCCGAACCCCTGCGAACGCCCAGCTGCACACACCTTTTTTTGGAGTCCCAGAGCTTTGCCTTCAAGCAAAGCTAGTGAACCTGCATCCGTGGAGTTATCCTGCGCCCATCAGCGCCTCAGTTGTGGTGCTGGAAGGTCTCCGTCCGTGGAGAGGGGCCGGGGCTGTTTCAGTCATGCAACTGAAGACCCAAAGCCTTCATTTAAACATCACCCAAAGAGGTTGATCTTGGGACAGGAGGGATGAGCCATTCCTTCCTTGGGTGCTGCATCTCGGTGCTTTCCAAGAAGCTGCAAGGCTTGGCTTGGTTGCCTTTTGTTTGGCCAAACCAGATTTGGAAGCTTCCCTCCTGTAAAATAACCCAGCTATGATTTTTTTTTCTATGATTTTTTTGTTAAAGACATCTTTCCTAACCCCCCACCCAATTGGGTTTACTTGAGTGCTTTCATGGAGAAAATGCCTAGAGCGGCTCTATCAGCTCCTCGGACATAGTTCTAATTTCCTAGGTGTCGTTCAAAAGCCTCTGTTCTCTTGGGCTAAACTGGCACTGCCTGTTTTCAAGCTGGTGAGGTAGAAAAAGAGTTGTTTATCTTGGCTTGCGGAGGGAAAGGCAATTGGCACCAAAAGCGGCAGAAAGACATAATTACTTTTGCGTAATGGTCATCGAAACCCCATAACCTTCTTCTGAACTGCTCAGACAGTGGTCCCTTTTGTTCTCCTATTGCCTCTCAACTTCAGAACTTTTAAGCCACAAAATGCCATTTAAGTGGCGCATTGTTTGAAGAAGCCTAGCTTAAAGAAGCCAACATCGGATTGTGTCCTACTAAATCAGAGGGCCTCAAACTTGGCAACTTTAAGGCTTGTGGACTTCAACTCCCCGAATTCTGTGCTGGCTGGAGAATTCTGGGAGTTGAAGTCCACAAGTCTTAAAGTTGCCAAGGTTGGAGACCCCAGGCCTAAACCACTTCTCAATCTCAGCAAGTTTAAGATGGGTGGACATCAACTCACCCAGTTGCCATGTTTGAAGAACCAACAGGTTATGCTGGCTGGAGAATTCTGGGAGTTGAAGTCCACAAGTCTTAAAAGTTGCCAAGTTTGAAGACCCCTGGCCTAAATCATGCTTTCCTTACTTTTCCTGAGAGTTTGGAAAGAAGTCTACTAGAACTGCGGTCCCCAACCTGGTCCCCAACCTTTCTGATTCGGTGGACTGGCAGAGGTAGTGGCAGGGGAGGAGGGACAGGATGGTTTCAGACGCAGAACCTAATCCCGTGTGTGTGCAAATGGTGCTTCACACACTCGACTGCCACTTGCGCTTCCTGGTTCCCAACCGGCTGCAGACTGGTACTGGTCTGCAGATTGGGGGATGAGGACCTCTGTAGTAGAGAGTTAATTAGCTCACTTTTAATACTTAAGTAATTAGTATCCTGGCATGAAATACAAACCAGGATCAGTCTGCTGATAATAAGACCATCATTGACTGGGTAACTTCCTTCGTCAGGTATGAGAATCCCATAATCTTAATATAGTTTGACGTTAAGAAAGCGCCTGATAAAGTATCTCACAATTATTCTGATGAGCAATTTAAGATTATGTGGATTGCAAGTCCTGACAATTACAGTAAGCGGATGCATAAAAGGCTCCAGAAAACACTCAAAGTGTTCATTGATGCACCCTTGGAGAAAGATATTGGGGGTGTTTTCCCGAGGATCCGTCTCATATCCTTTATTCATCCATATTTCCTCTCAATAAGGCCTGGGGAAGAAACTTGCCAGATTTACAGGTAACACTATAAACCAGGTAGAATGGCTGATACTCCCTCAGGTAAATGGAATTTGAACTGATTGTGTTAAAGAAGTGAATGTACATAATTGATTTTTTTAAGTCAAAACACTTGAAAAGTTATTTAGCCGGAATGCCAAAATTATATGCACAGGTGTAGGACAGCAAATAACCTAATTTAGCAACAGTCAACAGCCCTTGTGAAAAAGGTCTTGCAGTGGGACATGATGGCAAAGTGTCAGCCGGCTTGGTGGTGTGGTTGCAGAAAAACACATGCAGTTGTAGGCTCTGGGATTTGAAGTGCAATTTCCAAAACACAAGAAGCCATCACTGCATTTTATCCTG